TATAACATGACAAATTTGATTCATGTCAAACAATGGGCAAGACTCATTTCTATCCACGTTTTGTATCTATATATGTGATATCGAAGGCCTAGTATGTGGCCAAGGGCAAGTCAGTTGAGAAAAAATGTCTTACATTGTCACACTGATTAATTCAAAAACACCAGTTACCTACTATATTCTTCTAAGCATTGTGTGAAGATATAGCAATGAAAGACACAGTCTTTGCCCTCAAATTCTTTATAGTTTAGAATCTAGGGCTATTCTAGATGACTCAATTACATGTTATATGTCTTATGACCCAAGTTAACATTGATTGGTGGTGCTAGGAATATCTATAAAAGTCATTCTCAACCTTGGCTGCACATTAGAATCACCTGGGAATCTTTTTAAAATCCTGATTTCTGGGCCTCATCCTCCAGAAATTCTGTTTCTTTGTTATACGGTGGGGCCACAACATTAGTAACAAAGAAACAGAATTTCTGGAGGATGAGGCCCAGAAATCAGGATTTTAAAAAGATTCCCAGGTGATTCTAATGTGCAGCCAAGGTTGAGAACCACTGATCTATAAGAAGCTCCTGGGATACAAAGAGAGTACTAGTGGTCATGCTGACCAAAAGCTACTAGTATGTAGAGTTTGGAGAAGGGGATCCACGAGCAGATTCTTAAAGTACAAATCAGGGCTAGGAAGATGGGAGACAGTGGAGAGGGCCCTCACCTTCAGAGAGGGCCATGAAAGAGGATGACGTCATTGCCAGCCATTAGTGTAGCCAAAGGTCCTGTTACTTATGGAAGGTGCTGAGGGTGGTGCAGGAGTCCTGGGCAGAGGCTGCCTCATTCAGAGGGAAGATAATTTGTGAATTTAAACAAATATTATGGAAAGCTGTTACACTTATGATCTAAGGAAAGAGACAGTGGTAGACACACAGTCAGCAATGAATGAAGAAATGAATGGAAACTAAGAAAAGGAACATTGTGCTTCTTTTAAATCCTTAAAGCTGATCTCACAGACTTTAAGTCTGAGTCATGCAGTAACAGTTCACTAAGTCTTCTCCTCAAACCCCAAAGTCCTTATTTTAAAAACTTGAGGTTATCAGGCATTTCTTGCACTAAGTTTAATCTTATTGCATGTATTTTTTTACTTTATTTTTTATTGATTTCAGAGGAAGAGGAAGGTAGAAAGAGAAACATTGAATTGTTGCTCCATTTATTTACCCATTCATTGGTTTATTCATTGGTATGTGCCCTGACCAGGGATCAAACCCCCAACCTTGGTGTATCAAGATGATGCTCTAACCAACTGAGCTACCCAGACAGGATTTATTTAATGTATTTTTAATTAGTCCCGCATTCCTATTGAGCAGAATTGGAAATTTGCCATCCAAGTGTTTCTCAGAACAGTTCTCCTTGTGGAGAGGATTGGAATAGTCTGAATAAGTGTGTGACATGAAATTTTAGAAGAAATGTTTTGAAATGTTTTAACCATTGAAGTTATACATATTACTCGTTTGCAGTGGTGTGAATCTGACATAAATTCAAAGCCTGGCAGTGTTCTAACTGATAATCTCATGTTATAATTAAGTGTAAGGATTTTCTATATAAGTACATGATAATATCATGTTGCTAAGTCTAATATTTATGCCTGAGTTGCCAAGAAAGAAATCTTGATTATTCTAGTAGTATCTAATATGGTCCCTAATTACCTACCTCTTCTTGACTATTCTCAACTGAGTATGTCTGAATATAACACCAATGTTAGCATAAGATATTATTTTTCCATCCTGAGCTATTTTTCAGGCAGGTTTATTATTTCGTAAGCAAAACAGAGAGAGAGGGAGAGAGAGAGGGGAAAGAGAGAGAGAGAGAGAGAGAGAGAGAGAGAGAGAGTTAATTTGATCCCAAATTCTAAAATACCAACTCCTAAAAAGATATTTACTTCTAATTAGACCCTTCAATATGGGATTACAATCTCTGGCCCCGTGTAATGTGCATAGCATATAATAAATATTGACTAAATAATAATTATGGCACAATACTCAACAGTGTTTGGCAAAGAGTCAAATGAGGATGGAAGAAATTTGTATATTTAAAACTGTATTAATTAAAGGTAAGCAACTAAAAAGGAGTCAGTTTCCCTAAATGTTTTAGTGAATGCTTATTTTTTCAAAGTCACTTACTGCTTCCAACTTTGAAAATGAGAAGAGCTACAGGAAGAACAGTCTTCCAAACCTGTGCCAAAACTGAGATTTCCTTGTGGGCCCCAGGCGTGAAGGTGCCCCCAGGGGCCTGTGTTTATATATGAGCTCTTGCACTCCTCTTTGTAGTTGCTCTGCCAAAGGACAACCATGTGTCCAGCAGTTTTGTTTTAGTCACTCATGAGTAGAAATAACTTAAAGATTTCATTCAGGCATGGCCACGTTTTCTAGTGATTGAGGACACTGTTGAAATAGAAAGGGTGGAAGACTATAACTTTTTCAGCCATGTTTCAGATTTCCCATGTCTTCAAACATTAGTGTAAAACGCGAATGAATGCAAGTCAAGAACTGAGCACATAGTAAACGCTCAACAAATATTTCATATGCACCAGGGAATTAAGGCCACCAACTCTTGAGTGCATCAGATCTTTATGTAAATCACGCTTTGTTAAGAAGAAACTGTCTCACATTAAATATTGAATAGTCAATGATTTTCAACCAGTGTATAATAGCTGACTATTTAGTCAGTGGCACTGATCTTTTTTCCCTCCGATTGTAAAAAAACAAACAAAAAAAGACAACAGCCAACACATCCAATACCCATCCAGTATGAATGAATCAGTGTATGGCAGAATTTTAGTTTATGTGTGCCATGAGATGAAAAAGGTTGAAAATCACCGTAATAGGGTATGAACTCTTTTGCCTCCCTTCTTTTGTATCGCCCACACCCATGCTAGGGAAGTGCATTCCCTGTTTTAGGCAACTGCTTAATGAGGAATACTCTAGACAGAGCCTCAAGGTCATGAATGGGTTAGAATCCAAAGCTTACACC